TTTTAAAAAGAATAAACTTTAGAAAAAAAGATGGATTTGTTTGTTCTTTCAGCAGTTCACAGTATATGCAATATTCTTTATTCACCAACACCATAATTTAAAGGCATTACTTCTCCTTCTGTCTTCTTTATTCATTGTCCAACTTTCAGATGCCTAACAAGTAACTGAAAGAGACTACGGCTTGGATCAGGTACACCTTAGTCTTTAATACCATTGCTCTTTAGCACTTTGGAGAGGTCACTGACAGCAGATTTTCTCTGTGTAACACATCTTTTGATTTCTTCAGTGTTGATACCGAGGATGTGGATTGTGGATCTAAGTAAAATGACATCATTGTCAATTTCAAGCTTTTCTCCATCTATCATGATGTTGCCTATTTGGCCCAGTGGTGAGGATTTCTTTTTTCTTCATGCTGAGATGTAATCCATATTGAAGACTGGACTCTTTGATCTTCAGCAAGTGTTTCAAATCCTCTTCTCTTTTCAGCAAGCAAGGTTGTGTCATCTGCATAATGCAGGCTGTTGATGAGTAATATCTCAGTGGCTGGTAAGCTCAAAACACCAAACTTTCAGTTAGCAACTAGCTGAACGTTTAACCACTGTGTACACAGGACTGGAACTGAAACTGCCTCAATGGCACCTTTTAGTTAACTAACAGATTGGTTCATTAAATAAAGAATATTACTAGAGAATACTGTACACTTTTGAAAAGTCATCTACATGAGACTAAATGGCCAACCACTACTCTCAAGCAAAGATGGTAACGGGATGGGGAAATCCCATTACTAGAATGAAACATTCAGGAGCAAATTGAGAATTTTAGCACATTGTGTAAACGTAACCAGTATTTCTGAACAATTTTTGTTAGATTAGTTCTATTGTGCTGTGTAAACTTTCTCCAAAGACACAATAAAATACTATTTTTTAAAAAAACTGGTGTTTAATGCCTAAATTTCCAGTGAATGGAAGTAGCATTTCTCTGCGGCAACTAGGAGTGTCTACACTGCTGTGTTGCTGTGTACCCTCAAGTCAGAACTGACTCATAGCTGACCTTCCAGCAGGTTTTCAGAAGCTGTAAATCACTCAGGAGGGGTCAGCTTATCCTTCTCCCATGGAGCAGCTAGTGGATTTGAGCCACATGCCTTTGGGACATAGCACAATTTCTCACCAGTAGGCCACCAGACCTCCTCTACTGCTGTTACATACCTTCAAGTCCAATAGGACTCATAGCAACCCTACGAACAATATCTCTCAACCCCACCCTGTCTTGAGCCAATTTCACTGTCTCTGACACACCTGCCCTCATTGCCAGTCACTGTGTCAATCCATCTCATCCAAGGTCATCTTCTTCTGTGCTGACCTTCCACACTTCCAAGCATGATGTCCTTCTCCAAGGAGTGGTCCTTTACTGTAGAGCTTGTTAAAAGATTCTTCCCAAACCAGCCATGATAGTCTTTGGAATAAAGATATCCCATAGGTTAACCCAGATTTATATTCAGAATGACATTCAGCATGAAGTAGTAAATTAATATTTTTAGCTTTTAAGACAATTAACTTTTTCCCTGTTACACCTAAAAGACAAATTCTCATATACAATAAGATCTTTACCTAAGAGTTCTGCAATTCCATTATGAACATCACATAAGTGATTTAATAGAGGTTCCCTACTACTATAATATTTGCCAATGGCATCAAACAGAAGTTCTTTCACTGTATCTGTTCTATCCGGTTCCTCAGGAAAGTTCCTGCTTATGTCCACCACCATTTGGTCTGGAAGGTATTCCAAGCAGTCAACTGCTGCAGAGAGCCATTCATCTTCCCTAGAGAAGAAAGAAAAAAAAAGTTTTTCAAGAACAGCAAACAATTACAAACACAGCACTTAATCTACTAGCAATTTCTATGTACTTATAAAAGTTATATGTAATTTAAAAAAATCCTTTAGAGTATCATGGATCACAGATAAAAAAGTTAACTTTAATATATACTCTAATACTTTTTTTAAAAGTAAAAGAGAAGCTATCTACTACCACAGAGCAAGAATAGGCATCAAAATTCAAACTCTACTTTTTATTTAGTAGAACCAGGCACTTTCAGTTACTTGCTCAGGGTTACAGATAGGAATAGATCCTAGATTTGATACCTAGACTCTTGCTTTTTAAATATAATCTTGCTTATTTCAGAGCTCTGTGTATTCTCTATCATCTCTCACTTTGGCTAGAAGAAAATAAAGATGAAGTTTCAAAATAACTACAGATTAACAACAATTTAGAGTAAAATGTCAGCTGAGTAGAAAAATACATTTCCAGAAACAAAATTATTAACTTTTAATGTTCAATTCCTTATCTCATACAGTTTCATAATATATTCTTCACTGCCATAGAATGAAGACAGTTAAGTGCTATGACCCAGTGGTGTGTTACTTTGGGCAATTCACATCACCTCTCTGATCACTGGCTTCACTGAGTATAGAATAAAATGAAACTAGATTTTTGAGGTCACTTTTAACAAAAATTTTATTTTGCTCTGTAAGTTTTTCACATGATGCTTTAGTTGTATAAATCCTATTTAGAGTCTTTTAGAATAAGTTTTATATGTGTGGTGGTGGTGGTGTTGTTATGTGCCATCGAATCGCTTGCGACTCATAGCAACCCTATGTACAAGAGCTCTAAATGCTGTTCTATCCTGTGCCAACCCAGCCATCTCAAACACACTTAATTCCCACTGCTCCAGTCACAGAATCAATCCATCTCATAGAAGGTCTTACTCTCCTTCTCCGCCCCTCCACTCTGCCAAACATGATGTCAGTTGTGTGATAACTAGTATGTTGGGATTAACTTTTTCATAAGTTTTATAAGCTCCTTCTTAACATTCAACTGTTCATTGGAATGTAAAATCAGTAAAGTGCTGAAAATGTAAATTGTATTCCTTTCAAACATTTCAATCACCCTAGAGAACTCTGGTAACCCAGTAGATAATGAGTTGTGCTTCCAACACAAAAGCAGGTTGTTCATGCACACCCATGTTTACTGCAGCTTTGTTCACAACAACAAACAGTTGGAAACAACCCAAGTGCCCATCAACTGAACAAATGAATGAATAGAGAAACTACTGTATAGTCACACAGTGGAATATTATGCAGCACTGAAAAACAAAGAACTCATGAAATATTATACAAAATGGGTGACCTGGAGGACATTATGCTGAGTGAAAGATCTCAGTCACAAAAAGACAAATACCGCATAATGCCACTGTTATAAAACAGGACTGACATGGGGTTTGGGGGGAAACTATGAAAAGAGGGGATAAATACACAGCACTGAAACAGATGAGGGAGAGAACTATATAAAAGGAATATATGATTAGGTATTACTGGCATGTCAAGAGTCCAGAATAAGTGCTGCATAGTACAGTGGATTGGGGGGAGGGGGCTATATAACAATGAAAAATTTTTTTTTCCAAAGAAAAAAGCTAATTGGGGTGGGGGAGCAGGGAGGAAAATGTGCAACAATGAATGAATGGAAATCCAAGTTCTCTATAAACTTTCATTAAAATCTATAAAAACAAAAGTAATTTTTTTTTAAAAAGCAGATGGTTCAAATCCACCAGATGCCACAAAAAAGAAAGATGGGCAATCATCATGCAGCTTACAACCTCTGGAAAACCTCTGGAGGGTCAGCTATGAGTCAATTCCAAAAGTGAGAGCAAGAGAGAGCTGGACTGGCTCAAACACTATCTGCTTAGACAAAACAATTAAAAATTGAATAAGCTACAAAATATAAGACTTAATTTTAACTATTGATAATTGTTTCTTAGAAGAGGTCTAGGACTTATGAGGAATAGGAATCTATTCCTCAAGGTAAAAAAAAAAATATTGTGTGTGTGTACATAAATTCCCTTAGCATTTCCATTTAAGCCTTTAAAACTTAAGATTTATATTCAAGGGAAGGTAGTTGAAGGTGATAGTCTTTACTTTTCAATGATTTGACTTAAAATATATATATAATTTAATAAGATTTAACTGAAAAATATAAATATTTGAGAGGTATTACAGAAGAATAGAAAAGAATAGGCAGCCAGAGGATACCAAGAACTTGACAAAGTTGTTAATTTCATTCCAGGTCCCTTTGAGGAACCAAGAGAGAATAGAGAACACTAAATTTTAACAAGGATAAGAAAGTGGAACAACATCATCATCTTCATTTGATGAACAAATTATATATGGAGTAAAAATAAACATGAAAAACAATGACATTTTCAATCTCTTACTCTAATATTATGATAATTTTGTTCATCGCATTTCCCAAATATCAACAGTATTAACTGACAGTGCATTAAAACTATTATCAATAGTCTAGCTACAAATACAAATATGTATTTCCACATACTGAGAATCACTATAAGCCTTGAGAATCCCTCGATCCAGATAGCTACTGTTGTAGATCAAGTCAGGCTTTCTCTTAGGTTGAGGAACTTTAGATACAACCTCTTGCTGTTTGAGTAAGGAGTCAAGAAGTGAAAGGTCTACAAGTTGTAGTAGACGCCCAATTGTTTCTTCTTGCCATACTTCATTAATAACTACATAGGAAAAATGACAAGGTAAAAAGAAACAATAGTTACTTAATGCTCACCACAGTACTTGTCTAGGATAATCTAAGCCAGTAGGTTTGTGGCAAAAGAAAAGTCAACCTTATGAAGGGTTTTCTTTACAACAAAGTAAAACAATTCAAGATTTGTTTAATGTGTAGGAGAACAGACTTTGGACAGCAGGAATTCTTTCCATTCTTTGTACTGTCAAAAGCAATCTGTTAAAGATAAGAGACCTAGTCATGTAACATGTTAATAAGGACTTTGGAATAAAGAATGATTCATTCACTCTAAAAAGTGGTTTAAAACTATTGGCTGCAGAGGACTCCACTCAGTGTTTCCACATGGGGATGGGGGAAGGGAGGGAGGAAATCAAAGTCATTAAATGACATTCCACTGCCACAGACAAGGAAGAACACAAGGTTTCTGTTAATGTTTTAATGTAATTTTCAGATTTTTATTTAACCTAATAAAATCTTGGGCAAAGAAACATCTGAGAGCATATTTTTAAGTAAATAAAGTCTGCATGCAAAACATTTCAGATCTGAACCTGTGCCAGCTGATAGGACAAAAGTCAGTGTTCAAGAATTGTAACACTGATTTGTTTGTTAAAGATAATAGAGCTCTGTAAAAAACTTACTATAAACAGTTCTCATACATCGTGTGCCCTCACTCTGCACTCAGTATTTTAATTCTATTAGTGGTTGAAATGGAAACATTTTACTAATTTTATTTGAATTTGTCTTCTATTTCTTACCTTCTATTATCTTTATCTTACCTTCTGGAGACAAGGTTGTAGAGAGATCGACATGAGGGGAGTCAGCTGGCTTTAAACTTAGATTTTCCCACAGATCCTCTAAACTTGCTGATTTGATGTCAGAGGACTTAAATAAAGCATTTGTGTACCTAAAAGGAATTTATTTAATCTTTATTAGTAAAGTCACAGAAATACATTAGCAATTTAGCGTATTTCTGAAGAAGTTATGCATTTTGGAACAAACACAATAAATGCAAATTCTAAGTTCTACTCGATGCAATGAATTTTGCGGTGGTTTGGTTTTTTAAAAAATTAATGCATTCCAAATAAATTCTCCTTTGCACATTTATTTAAGGAGCCCTAGTAGCTTATTTTCTAACACTACCACTGGTGCAGTGTGTTAGTCTGTTAACGCTAAGATCCAGGTGCAATGTGTTAGGCTGTTAACTCAAAGATCCAAAGTTCAAATCCACTAGTTTCTCCAAAGGAAAGAGATGAGGCAGTCTGCTCCTGTTAAGATTTTAGCCTTCTAAAACTAACGGAGGGTTAACATGAGTTGGATTGACTAGATAGCAATGGAATTGTTATTTTTGAACATTTCTTTAGATTTAACTAATTCAATGGCTGGATTTTAATCACCAATTTTAACACAGAATCATATTTCACTATGCTTTTGTGTTTACCAGTTATCTCTTATTTTGGGGACATTCTTTGCTGGGTAATGTTCATCATTTTACAAAAAAGAGAAGTAGTTTTTTTATCTGCCATTCTGAAACCCAAAAGGCTTCGATATTGAAAGATATTGATTTATTCAAAACCAATCCATAGATCATCATACCTTTTATTTAATCCCAGTTGGTATGAATATCCTTTTGTTTATTGTAGAAATAGTAATGTATTTGATTTCCAGATGTGATCCTAAATGGCTTACTGATTTGACTATAAACTATATAAAGTTCCTAATTCTCATCCTAAACAAATCTGGTCCCAGGGATTTGGGATAAAGTATATAGGCCCTCATCTGAAAAGGGCTGATGCCCTACTCACCCTCACATTCCAGCCAATACCAAGACTTTATCGTGTTTTGTATACTGAGGTAAAAGTAGTTTAAAGTCAATATACTGCTAACACTCTGGATTTAGTTTGGTTTTCATTATAAGAGCTTCAGTTATACTTTACATTGTAATTTAGTTGAGGAGCAAAGTACAATTATTTTACGACACATAACTAATTGATTATCTCCTCATCACCTGCATCCATTTCATTCACTGGCTCTACAATTCTGTCTCTTCCAGTGTCTCTTTAGGGAGCTCTGGTGGCATCATCTGTAGGGAATAGCAATGCTAACCCAAAATTTGTGCTTTTCTGGTGGTTCAAATCCACCAGGCTTCTTGGCAAAAAGTTGGTCAATCTCTTCCTGTGTGATTTCCAGCTTTAGAAACTCACTAGAGGGTCAGCTATAAGTCAGTTGTGACTCCACAGTAATGACTCATTTCTAACTTTGAGAGTCTAAGTGATTCCATTTTCTGGGTATCACTGCTGTTCAGTCTTCATCTTCCATTACCTGCAATCATCCTCTCACTAGTTCTCCCCTGTTGGCTACCCATACAACTTCCAGGATAACCGTTCTAAAATACGATCTCATCATTCTTGAAATCTTTCAATGCCACCACAGCACCTGTATAATCAAGTCCAGATGAAGTCCTTTGCATTATGGCTCCCACCTGTCCCTCCAGCTTCATGTACCTGCCACTTCTTGGATTATTCACTGATACCCTACTATCTGAAGGTCTCCCTATCTGCCTGTAACTTTTCTTTGTTCTTTCAACACTCTATAAACCTTTATACCATATAATGTGAAATAAAAAAATCAAAGTTGGTGGATCATTTCTGTTCAATATGAAGTGTGAGCCAACAAGTATTCTACACAATAAGGTTAACAACATTTGACTGCATTTTATCAAATTTATTTACAGGCACAGATTTTACTTACTGTTTAGAAAGCAACACAAAGCCAGTCAGCATCTCATGAAAATGTAGATAAAGCCTTGGGCTAAGATAACCTAACATTACATACTAACCCAGAAAGTGAGTGGTGTTTGTTCTCTTTGCCTAACTGGCTGTCTTGGTTAGGGATCGTTGTGAATCTATAAAGGCTGCAACTGCTATCTTCAAATGTAGGTTTCTTGTCTTTTCCAAAAACTCTGGTGGGAACAGCTTCAAATACTTTGTAGTCCATAAGTGCTTGACACACTCTCACCACTTTGGCCCGAGGAATATCTACATCCCCAAAATACTTATTCTGAATTAGATGAGAAAAAATGACATCCACAGCTTCTGAGCCAACAAAGCAGTCATTGTGCCGTTTTAAGTGGTGCCTTCGTTTTTTCACTTCCACTTGTGTCTGAAGGGCGTTTATAATGCTGCTCCATACATATGTGGCTCCAAATGGCTTCTGGGCCAAACTGAAACCTGGCAGGGAAGCAAGCACAGAGTAACGGATACTATGCATCCTGTTCACTTGAAGTAAGGTTTAAATAACAATCTCTAAGCAGAGAGACAAGTTCCTAAGTTAGGAGTAAGGACCAATTATGACAACAGCATCTGTTAAAACATTGTATTATTCATAGTCATTAGCTTGAAAATGCAGTGCCTACTGTATGCCAAATACTGTTCTAAGTGGTAGGATACAACAGTGAACAAAATAAAGCCCCTGTTCTCATGGACTTAAGTCTTTGTGGGAGGAAATAGACAATTAATACAGTACGTGTTACATGAGAGCTAAGGGGGGAAAAAAATAAAGCCGGGTGAGGAAGAGAATGCTATTTTAGCTAGGATGTCAGAAAAGACCTCTCTGATAAGGTGATATCTGAGCAAAAACTGGAGTAAAACAAGGAAGCAAGCTGTGCAGAGGATAGGAGAAAGCAGAGGCCCTGAGTTGGGAATGTGCTCTGCTAGGAGAAACAGAAGGAGGACAGTGTGGCCTCAGTGAGCAAGGGAGAGAAAAGAGTAGGAAGTGAAAGCAAAGAGGGAGTGAAGCTGAGGCTAAAGGGTGAGGGTGGGGTGGTGAGGAGTGGGGGGGGGTGGGAAGTGTATCAGGCAAGACCATGTAGCACTTACCAATTACGTGCAAGGAATTCTACTAAGTGCCTTACATAAACTACCTTCACAGCAACTCTTTAAGGTAGATATCATCTCTAGGTGAGATATAGAAAATATTCACAGAAGTTGAATCTAACTTCCAAACATGATGTATTATCAGGATGACTGAGCAGTTAGTCTTAAGGCTGCAGTTTCCCCTAAAGGCATGGGTTCAACCTCAGTCCTGACACAACAAACAAATTACTGAAACATAATCGGTAGTACCACTGGGATTTGCCCTCATTATTCCAAAATATTTATCAGTCATTACAGAAAGACACATCCCTTTTATGTCATAGATGATAGATAGACAGACAGGCACACACTCACACAATGGTTGCAGGAACACATATTTTTAAGCTTCCTACGATGCAGGCTAATAATGAGTACTTTGTCAATAACAAATAAGTCATTGCTACAGAGTCAAAACTGGAACTGACCCTCCAGTGGGTTTCCAGGGGCTGTAAATTGCATGGGAAAAGACTATCCATCTTTCTTTTACAGGGCAGGATTTGAACCAAGCACTTTTGGGTTTGCAGTACATCTCCCTATTCACTAGGCCACTAGAGCTACCTTAATACTTTGTAAGCAGGATAGCAGGGTTGTGTCATCTGCATAATGCAGACTGTTGCTAAATCGTCCACCAACCTTGACCCCACATTTCTCCTCATAGAGCCCAGCCTTCCGGATAATCTGTTCTGCATATAGGTTGAAAAGGTCACCCTGAAACCCACGGCGTCCCTTTTCAGCAGGAAGTAGCTAAGAGAATACGCCATCCCCTTTTCCTTATGACTCAGGGTGAAGTCTCTCTCA